TAGTCAAGCTGGAAATGTCAGCCCACAGAAGAGTACGCCAGGTGGACACTCTCTTCAGTCAGGCACAGTGGTTAGCGCTGCTCATTTATTTATCAGATACAATGTATATATGAAGTTCATATATTTTGAACTGCGGTATTAGGTACGTATGATGCACGATCCTCGCAGTAGAGAGCGCTATTTGTGCAATAGCGAAAATCAGACCTGAAAAAAATCCGGCCTGTACGGGATTCAATTCTACTGCGAGGATCGTGCATCATACGTATCTAATACCGCAGTTCAAAATATATGAACGTCATATATACATTGTATCCGATTTATCATCACGGGTTTATTACGAATCAACTTAACGGCCTGCTCCCAGTTGGCTTGTTAGCTCAAGTGGTAGAGCGCTGCACTAGTATCGCAGAGGTCAGTGGTTCGAATCCCGTACAGGCCTGATTTTTTTCAGGTCTGATTTTCGCTATTGCATAAATAGCGCTCTCTACTGCGAGGATCGTGCATCATACGTATCATTTATGTATCCTGCAGCTTTCTCTCCGCGATTTTACTCCACTGGTCGCGAAAGTTGTGAATATCATTAAACAAACATCTAAGTTTAATGAGGAAAGAAGGCTGCGCACCTGAAAAAAAAAAATAAGGAAAATTACCATAGTATATAAAATTTAGTAAATTGCAAGAACCTGTTTGATGTTTAAAATCGCTGGGTAGGAGACGTGATTTCCACGGAGGCTGGAACACCTAAGGTTAACATTCCTCGAAGCTCAGTACAAATGCAGTTAAAGCGAAATTTCTAATTTCGTGTCAAGAATTGTTGAAAACTGAACATTTGTTTCTCATTTGTGCAGCTTTTCAGGAGAAGTGTTCATGGCGTCAAACGGATGGATTCTCATCCTCATCTTCCATACTGTGAGTATCAAAAATAAACTAACCATCACTTTTCTATCACTGTCTTAGAAAGTAAACTACCATCACTTTTCTATCACTGTCTTAGAAAGTAAAGCAGTCATGTATTTGATTTTTACTTCGTCGCATAGATGTCTCCGGCTCTCAAGATGGAAGTATTCGTATGTGGGAGTTTGGTCATGCGCAGGAGATCACATCCCATCGTACATCTGGTTCGTATCAAAGAGTGACCAGAGCACGGTTCAGTCCCCATGGCAACAAGGTATTCTCAGGATCTTTTTATTAGTTCTCCCTTTAAGCTACAACAAATTTCTTGGTAGATTTTAGTGTTTTATCAAGATAACAGTTTAACTCGCAAGTTTTCTTACATTTATTTCCAGTTCACTGTGAGAACTTACCTGATAATTACTTCTGCTCGTTTAAGGGCTTAATGAACAGGCTTTTATCCGGTTTGTGTCAGTGTTTCTTTATTCCATGGGCTAGGCTGGTTAAATATCAAATTTTTTTTGCCTCTCGTGATCTAGTGCTAGTACTGATCTAGTGCTCAGTACTAGCGGTTTCTCCAAGCTTTGTAATTTTCCATGAGAAGTTCACGTTTTGTATGATTATTCTCTCAGTGACACACATTCTCGAAGTTGCCAAAAGAAGGTTGACTTTCCATCTTTGAAGAGACCGCAGAAACTGTCATGAAATCTTTCAAAATCGTCCCACGCACAGAGTTGTTACCGCTGTGATGTCGTTATGTTTTGCAGGTCGGAATTTCAGATGCCAGTGGTCAGTTGGTTTTATGGCAAGTTAGTAGTACATCCACATCTGCTGATCCTTTTTTGGTAAGACCTGCATTTCAAGTGCTGTGCTCATAACTCAAATACAAGAACATTAACCGTCAGCAGCTGATCTTAAAACCTATTTTTTCTTTTTATACCAGACTCTGAAGTGTCACAATAAACAGACCAGCGACTTCGCATTTGTTGGCTCTTCGAGTTTTCTAGCAACGGCAGGACATTCCTCAGATGGAAGGTGCACTTAGCATTTTAGTTCGGTTTTGGTTTCAAAACTTCCAAAACTTTAAAAACTTTTCTACCGAGGTTCCGTATGAATTACCACGATTAATGTAGTTGGACAATAAGCGTTGCCCCAAATAGATGTTGCTGATTTCCCTTTCCTGCTTCCAGATTGCCATAGCTTATTTATGTGATCTTTTTTCCCTCTCAGCAATGTTTGCCTTTGGGATACTTTGGTTCCTCAGCACAGTTCACTCGTTCATGGTAAGACTCTTTTAATGTTTTTGAGAATAAATATTTTGTTGCAGTTGTGAGCAATACACGATCGAAACACTATCAGTGATTTTGTTAAAAAAAAATAATAAACGAAAAAAAGGACCAAAACAAATTGCCGCAAACGTCGCAGCTAATTAACAATTATTCCACGAGCGCGCGTTGGATATGAGATGATAGATAGCCAACGAGGCGCGTAGCACCGAGTTGGCTATAATCATCTCATATCCAACAAGCGCGAGCGGAATAATTGTTTTATTAAAAACGTTAAATTAAATTATTAAATTTTATTAAATTTTTAGCTCCCTTTTAATTTTAAGCTGACACGTACGCTTGCCATATTTGTAGATTATGATATATTGGCTGATATACCATAATGGCTAAGCCAATAAAAAGTCTTGAATTGCATTATCCAATGATCTAGTTTTTAATCATAAGAATTACCAGTCACTCCAAGTGTGATCATTACCCCATTTACAACAGCAAAACGTGTTTAGTTACACCGTGTTAAACTAAATCAAATCAGAAACAGAGAGCTGACAAACAGAATTTCCTTAGGATTAAAATACTGACTCATATTTTCAATGGGCTACATTTGAAGCCGACAAACAATGGTTTAAGCAGCTTCTATGAAGAAAAAGTTTCAAACCGTTTGTAACAAAACATCTTTCAGACATGTTTAAGCTTTGGTGTGAATAGCGCATAGGTTACACGTGTTTTCGAGCGCACACGTGACTAGACCAACATTTCTGAAGGGGACTGGGACGGTTACATGTAAATTAACACCACAGTTGCAGTTCCAGTAGTTTTCTTCCCTTTTTTTTTTAACAGCTTTCATATGTCATGAAAATGGAGCGCCCTGTCTTGCGCATGTTGCTGGTCAGCAGCTGCTCATTTCTGGAGGACGTAAGGGAAATATTTGTATCCTTGAGTAACCCATGTTTCGTTGAAAATATTCAACGGTTGTGTTTGGTAGTAGGCATTAATGTGGCAAGCTAAGAGGAATGGTGAAGTTGGCCAACTGTACTCAGGGTTGTATAATTTGGAAGTGCTGACTGTTATTTAAAATTTTAGCTGGTTACTCCTTTTCATCGCCGGCTCAGTCATCTCCAATCCAATGGGCGGGGTAGGTAAAGCGAAATTCTATAGAGAAGCTGTCAGATCAGCCTATCTGAACTGTTTTTATTCCGACTTTATCCTTGGCAAATGGTTTAGTGCTTTGTAGAAAAGGAACGGCTTGAATTAATTGAAGTGTTTTAATGATTCATTCGGTTTTTCCTCAACCACTTCATTTTGGTCCAGCTTGTTGTCCATATCGTCTGCTTCTGTTTCTTTCTTGTGTACCTCGTGAAACGTTTCGACAACTTAACTGAGCGTCCTTAACAGATGTAAGGTATATTTGATCTACGACAGCGTCAACTACGACACACATTTTTGGCTCATGATGCGCCGGTGAAAAGCATAGTTGTGGATGAAAATGAAGAATTCTTCATTTCCGGCTCTGAAGATGGAGATATTAAGGTATTCGTAAACGGGATAACTTGTTGGTTTTAGCTCAATCGTGCTTCAACGAGGCAAGCGGACTAGCAGAATGTTTTACTTTTGAAATCAGTTTCTTGTTACAGCCACTCGCTTAGTTTTCAGCCTTCTTGGTGAATGAATGAATTCCTTATTTATATTGCGCCTTTTCTATATAATATTCAAAGGCGCAGTAGGCCCATCAATTTGATAGACACTACACAAAGATAGACCACAACACCGGGCACTACGTGCCCAACTCTTTTCGAACAGCGTGTGGGTTCTTTAACGTCCCACAAATTTTTTTATCACATACAAGGGCTTGTGAGATGGGACATCCATTTATCGTCCCGATCCGAGAAGACTAGAAAGTCTAACCACTTGCAGATATTATTACAAAGGCAGCACTTTCTTCTCAGTTATTTAAAGACCCTGAGTGTTGGTCCGGCCGGATTTAAACTCACGACCTCCCGCACAACAGTCCGGCGCTCTACCAATTGATGACAGACATTTAGAATTATCATTGTGTAGTTGTGATTAGCTTATGATTATATTTTGTTGAGGTAGATTGGTTGTTGCCAATATCTTTTTTTTTTTTTTTAGCCCATTTTGATATACTTCACGTCGATCGGAGAAGTGCCGCTTTGATATTGTAAAGCGCTCATAATTTTGAAAAGACCCGGACAACTATTGTAATTGGTTGGTTGTACAGACATTCTCTTGATTTAAATCGGAATTGAAAATTAAGGCCTCTGCAAAATAAGTTGCAGGAATTGCTCGTTTTTCGTTCTAATATACTTCTGTAACATTACTTTATTGAATTGCTTTCTCATTTCAGGTGTGGGGTTTGTCAGTACACGAAGAGCTAGAGTGTTACCCGAAAGAGCACAGCAAAGGGGCTTATCTTCTGAAGTATGGGACTCAGGGTGTGGCCCTTATGAACCTCCACAATGGACAATTATTCTCCTGTGGGGGAGATGGTACAGTGAAATGGAGACAGCTCTCTGTTAGGGAAACTATTTTCAACAGCAAACTGCTATGACAATGATTCTTGATCTCACAATATTTGCTTCGTGAGAATTGTGGTGACAAAGACAGCTTCAAAAAATAAATTGATGGCAAGCAGTTACAATGACAGCGGTAATGCATTGACAGAAGTGTATTCCCAGCTGTTCTTTGGACTGTTGTTTGTCAATGAAACCTTTTTTTTGTACTTCTTCAAATGACTGACAGTTCACTTGGCTTATACTGAACATCTGAAATGATTAAAGATGCACTGAACAATGTTGCAAATAAAACTAAGAAAGAATTCCCTTTTATTACGATAGTCACTGCTAAGTTGAGTACGAGACTCAAGGAAAAAGAGGATTTACATTAATATATCCTTCTGACAGTTTTTGTGCACAAGTTCTTTACACAAATTGTGTTTGTTTGGTGTGGTACATACATTGATATTGTAAAAGCAGGAATAGAAACATCAATATCATAGATCTGATGTCCTTATTTGTAAAATTTTAGAGTTAAAACAGAGAGCAGTGTGTTTGAAACTTTTGCCAATTAGAAAAAAACATATTTGAGTTTCAAGCAGATTGTGAAGTTAATCATAAAGAGTAGTTCAAAGATCAGTCATCTTTATATATTGAAATTGTGATTATGGCTGTGCCAGCAATCGTTTCTGGGAAAAGGCATTCAACTGGTAGGCATGCTACCCAAAGTGCTCCAAAGCAAAGTACTGGTTTGATGATGACTTGCTTTTTTTGAACATCAAACTTTTTCATGCAGATATTTGGGGCTCTGAGATAGCAATTTCCCTAAGCTTAATTGTGAAGAACAAGAATATAACAAGCATAAACATATAAGTGGAAAAAGATAGAAAAGAACGATTGTTTTCATCAGGTTTTTATGTATTTTTTAGTTATGTACATTCATGCTGAATTCTGTGAACCCATCTCAAGCTATCAAGTTCAAAGCATAATAATGTGGAAAATATATTAGAAGTGTAAACAGCAGGGTTTTTTTCCCCTTTGGCTGGCATGATTTCTTTTGTTCTTATTCAGGTTTGACTCTTTTGTTCTACAGTGGCTAATCATTTGAAATTGAAAGTACAATGAGCTACCTGTAATTATCAATTGTATTTCTTAATTCCTCAGACATCCTAGGAACCAATTCTTAATGGTAAAAAAATAAATCATACTAATTTCTCTGTCACTGCCCACCCTTTTGGGAAAGTACTTCCAGCAACAAGACAGAGTCATGTTGGATTACTACATATGCATCTAGACATGGTTCACTTCAAAAAGGTCTGTATTCACTTGTATTAATAACATAAAATAAATTATATATAAATTTACACTGGTATGAAGTATAATTTAGCAAATGCTTCATAAAGAAAAGTTTCCCATTACAATGTTAATTAGTGCACCACTTACTGATAACAGTGTACTGGCACACAAAAACAGTATTTTTCATAAAATTAAGAGTTGTAGCAAATTTTCAGCCTTGATCAGAATTGCACTTCATCAAGTCATCCAACTGAATCTCTAAGAAGGTTTCAATTTCATGTTAGGATTCCAAACAGGTATTGCACCTGCAATTGATGAAATTAATCCTAGTAACCCAGCCAAACCAACATTCAACTCGATTACACCCATAACATTGAAAGGCAACAGGAAATCAGCTGAATTTTTTACTGTGTCAAGCAAAAGTTGAGGACGGGTCATAAGCCTGGATGTAACAGAACTTCCTTGTGAATAGCTTTCTTCTCCACCATCATGTTTCTTTGCTGGGACAAAAATTAGGGTCAAGATCTCATACAGGTTTCTGAGAAGGCCAAACACAAGAGCAATAGCCCAGAATTTTGCCTGAAACTTTGACCATTCTTTTGGGGTAGCTTTATAGAGTCCCAATCTTACAGCCCAGGTAACATGATCAATAATGTAATACAAAGCCAGAGTAGCACGGCGACAGATGATGAGGACCTTTAGAATGTTGTCGTGATGGATGTCCTTGGCTCTTATTGCCCCAATGATCATGTCTAAACTCTTTCCCAACCTAAATACTGAGAAAAAAAAAAAAAAAAAAAAAACTGATACAGCAGTGTTTTTCTGATTTTTAAAGTACACAGGAAAATTTTGATTTTTAACTACACAGGAAAAACTGGACAGCATAAAGGGTTTTCAGTCTTGGCTACTGATCAGCAGTTTTTACTGTCTGAATATTTTTATCTGTAGTAATGGTCCTAATGACAACTACCAATGTTTATAAGGATACCACAAAATCAAGTGAATGTTGAAGGGTTGCTACCCATGTTCTCTGCCTGTTTAAATTTTCTCTACTGCTACTGAACTTGAAATGTAAAACCCCCTGCAGACCTGTACAAAGTACAAGCAGTCTCGGTTTGATCGAAACCCTAATATTAATTGGTCTCATCTAAAGAATCAACTTACATTTCCTTGAGGTGCTTGTCTGTTTATCAAGTGTTTTTGCCCTGTTCACCCAATCAACACTTGCACCGCCTTGTTGAAGAAGATAACTGGACAACCTAGAGGCATACTGAATAATCCTGATGACAAGAAATTCATGAGTATTAATCAAATAATTTTGGTTGCTCAAGTACATTTAGCAAGTATTAACATTTTTTAGGTTAAATGCAGCATCTGAACTTAAACAAAAAACAAGTGAGAACTACCAATCCTAGTAAAACAAACCAGAATGCAAAAAGAGAAAAATACACGAAATATTTTATAAACTAAATTATTCAACAGAGTGGTCAATAGTGTTTTTACCAGAATGGCAATGTGGACTTTGACTTGTGGTGGGCTGTGGTTACTAATCACTTTTGTATGTGGTGTTTTTCCTTGTATACAAGTGCTTAGCAACTTAAGAATATTACAAGACATTAAATCTACATAATTAATCTAAATCCATAGGTGGCATCGCATAATAATAATAAAGACAGTAGAAGGTATCTGATTGCTTAACAGAAAACCAGAAAATAATAAAAGTTAAAAGACTAACGAGTGACCTGGCTGCACACACACACAAATATAATAATAACAACCTAATACCTAGTAAAGTTTTGCTTACGTAAAATATCCACAAGGAACATTCAGTCACCATATTATATCCAGATATATTAAAATTTGTTACTGCTCGTACACATCAATCTGATCTATTCAGATCGCCACAAATTTTATTGAGGAAATCAAATTCTTCTGAATACAGGTAGCCGCTTGAAGGAGAACACGTTAAGATTGAAACGTTGTTTTCATGCTTTAGTGTCAGATTGTATGACTTAGAATAAAAAGACCCCCTCAATGTTCGTTCTTACTCAATCATCACATGATTGTGTAAAACAAACAACTTATTGCCCCTTGACTGGCATACATTCATGAAACAGTAGTATTTATCTCACGAATCGGTGGTTTATAATATAGCGCACGATATTCGCTTTTCTGTGAAATAAATGCCAATATCTGTACGTACATTTGACGTCATCAATGACACTGCTTGATTATGTACCACGTGTTACTGCGTTCTCAAATAATTTCTCTCTACTGCTACTTTCTCTCTACAGCTTACCAAAACACAGATTTACTGAATTCTTTAAAATTTTATATTTAACTACAATTCTATATTTCAAGAAAACAAAATTCATTTCTATTAATGGTGAAGGAAATATTTTATCGATAAGAAAACATCATAATTGTAAAAATTTCTTGTTCCATACTGAGCCACGTGAACTAGTTACAACTGCTTAATTTTCCACTTACCGACATAGTTTATCCCTTCCTAAGGTCTGTTGATTGTACTTCACCACTGCAGCGACTACATCCATGGTTTTCCCCAACAGTTCAACAATTGCCACCGCTTCAAGCTGAAATGATCGAGGGCAATCTCACGTTTAACTACGTATTCTCGGTAAACGTACCTTTGAACTTCTAGCAAACTGGGTCTAGGACGATTGATCTCGTGAGAGACTGGGCTAAAGATCCCGTTGTCAAGGAAAGCTAAGATGGCGGCAAAACAAGATTATGGAAAGGATCTCATGTCTCGCAGAAAACCTCGTTGTTTAAAAGAAAACTAAAACATTTGAATTATAGGACCTTTAAAAATGCGTGTTAAGAAACCGAAGCGGCCAACAACACCTCCTTCGGAAGATGAAGTCGATGACAGTTTTGTTGTGGACCCAGATCAAATTTTCGATGAATTGCCTCAACCATTTCGACTTGTTGAAAAAATTTTGAGGCAAGTTTTCGACGCTGCTTGGGAGCGTATAGAAGGCATTGAAGAACGAAAGGCATTGAAGCGCTCAAAAGCTGTGTTACCATTGTTTGAACTTGGAAAACAGCTGTCTGAGTACAACGGAACAACTTGTATTTGCCCGGCCACCGATGGAAATTACATGTTTATTTGTCATACCAATAGATTTACAGTAGTAGACAGTTTTTTAGAAACTGTTGTTGCTTCCTACGAAGAATTAGAAGGTAACGCTGTACATATGTCTGCTTGTTGCCTTCAGGAAGGATATTATCTTATTTCTACCTTGGATGATGAAGGTACGAAGCTTTTGTCAACTTGCTTGCATGTACAGTGTCCTTAATCATAAAATAAACTTTAAAATGTTTTGTCTTTAGATGACCATGTATACCATTTGAAAAGGTCAAATGAACTAATAATAACGTCCCAAAAACAGCAGAGTCATGTCTCATTATCTCTCTTTTACTTTGTAATTTTGTATCGGATAGTAAGAATATATTGCTGTTTAGTCAAATGTACTCAATTCTTTTCTTATACCAAGGGTGTGCTAGGCTCTTCTGTTTCACTGGAGATAAGGTTCATCTCATACGAACATTCAATGAACCTGTAAGTACATACTGATCACTGTTTTAAATTTTATAGCTGAAAAGTTGCATTTTTATTGGCCACTAAATGACAAGTAAACACTAAAAACCACAATCACCCAAAACAAAGTGAAACTTTAAGTAGGTGTAGTAGTATTTCTGCATTTTAATGGGTGAACAAACAATTTTTAGTTCTTAAGTAAAGGAATGACATTGTATTATCAATTATTTTTTAATGTCAATCCACGTTAGGAAACAAGCAAGCAAGCCATAGCAACCCTTGTAGACGTAAGTCAAGATGGGGGATATATTGGAGTTGGATGGAAAGGTAACTCTACAAAAAATTAAAATAATTCAAAGGACAACATGAACAGATTATTAAAATAATTCAGTTTAAACTTGTAAAAGACCTTATTTAGGTGTTTTTAGAATTAAAGGGGAGCTGTTAAAAAATTAGAAGTTGCAATTTCTCATCATGGGACATGGTCTTTCTCAGAAAACCTTGACCATTTGTAAAATAGGGTAATATGTGTCAAAAAGTGTAAAACCTAAACATGCAGGCTATTTCTGGCTACAGATTTAAAAATATACATATAAAAGAGTTTGCAAGGGCAGAGGTTGACTCAATTACCTGTTTAGAATTAGTTTGTTAATAATTATGTTCATATATGATGCAGTTCCCATGAAAGAGAGCTGGGTGGAAATCTATAAAATTCCCAAAGAGACATGGATCAAGGAAATAGAAACAGCCATGGCAGCGGCAGTTCGCTCAAGGAAACCAACATTAGCAGAATCATCTGCCCCAGTGAGTCTTAGGGATGCTTTCAGTTGAAAGTAATTTTTTAATGCATGGTGACAGTTTTACATCTACTCATCCTGTGACTATTATGATTTCTTTGTTTTTAGCTAATTTAACTGTTAATTACTCAAGTGTAAAATAATCCATAACTATCTGCCTGAGGGTTGTGGTTTAGTCAAGCCAGCAGGGGTGCCTATTGTTAAGCCAATTCAAAGAATTAGCTCTTGAACAGTACTTCAAACAATGTAGTTTTTCCATGTTGCATGTTGGAATGTTCAAGAGCCCTCTGGACTTCTTGTTCACTGGAGAAATCTCCAACTCCCAGTTTTGGCCCCATTAGATAGGTGACTTGTATGTCTAAGAATCCTGTTTCCTCTAAAATTGTGAATTACCAAGGGGAGTATGCTTCCTTGTATTATTTGTGGCATATTTTTTTCTGTTTTAGGATTTGGAGGAAATTAATGCAGCAGAACAGCTCCTTAAATCCACTGAGGATCAAGAACCCCTTGAAGGAATGGTAAATGTATGTTTGAAATAAGAAGGCTGATCACTTTTTCTGAATATTTTATGTACTAAAAATCGAGTTTCTAGATGGGATTAGATGGGATTTTTTAAAAATTGTTTATTTTCATCTTTACATTTTATGTACTCTGCTAAATTTATTGAGCATTCCTACATTTAATTCTTTGTCAGTAGAACCCTCTCTGTACAATGGGTTGCTTAGAACTAAGGAGTAACATGCATCATGCCAGGTTTTCTGGTGCTAACCTTCTCTACTGTGATAGTCACCTTCAGGGTCAAGGCCAAGCTCAGCTCAGGCTGGACACAATCAACCTGGCTTGTCAGTTATCTCCTTCACCAAGCCTGCAGCTGTACTACGAGTGCGACCTCCTGCTCCAGTGGGCCCTTGTGCAGCTACAAACTGTTCTGCAGCCTTAAAAGCTGCTGATGCAGAGGGAAATGTCATTGGTAGTGGTTCAAGCCATGTGCTAATGACGCAGTTTTTTGAGAATTATGACAAAGCATTTCACCAGCTTCACAAAGAGGAGTTGAAATATCTGAGCAAAGATGACCAGGACTTGACAAGGTCTGAAATTTTTTATTTATTTAGTGTATGACTAGGTCTTTTATAATTTCTGCATTTTTTTAATGTGAACCATAATATTTCAGTTAAGCTGGTACATATAATAATGTTGTGAGTAACATGTCCTCCCTGAGGTAACTGCCCCTTTAGCCTATAAAAGTCATCATGAAAACTGTACAGTTTTGAAATTTTTACATATTATAGTTCATGCACTGGTATGTCAGTCAAACTCATTATAAGCAGATGGATGATATCAGGGTTAAGTTCTAGGGACAATTAATGATTTATTCATCTCAAAGCATACTTTGCCAATGAAGTTGTGTGGTTGCTGCAATTGTTACAGTGATAGAAGTACTTTTATGTTCACTTGGTTGCAGCTTCCCAAGATTACACTTCCTAATACCTAGCAGATTGATTCCTTCAGGATTGGAGTCTGCACCCAGTAAGCCAGTGATATTTTTGCAATGATGAACATATCTTGGTTAAAAGTCTACAAGATTTTTTTTCAGATCCTCAAGATAGCAAAGTACACTGAGATTATTTATTTTGTGGCATTATCTTTTTTTTGAGGTAAAGTTAACTCCCTAGCAGTGTGGTGGTCTGGAGGTACTCAGTTATTTATGTATTCACTTGTCAAGAATGCTAAAGGTAAGGATCGCATTGTCACAGCCATTTTTTTTTTCATGTGAGATTTATCTTACAGTCCTTGAATATAATGCACATGCCACGTGACACTTGGGGTCTATAATGGTTGCCAATACACACTCTATTGTATTAGCAGATATCTTAATGTGGGGAAAAACTCAAAAGCTCATGAGAATATCCAATGAGAAAATTTCCCTAGTCTACAGCATTTATGTTATTTGTGCAGTACAGATACTGTTAGTAATATTTCATTCTTTAGATACATTAAATAAATGAGTTTACAGGTAAAACTAGTTTGGTGTCTTCCTTAGATCTAGAGCACAAACCAGACATAGTATGGCCTCATTCCAAACAGATCATCATGAGTGCAGTTAGTGAATGTGGCTGCTTTATGGCTTTGGGTCTCAGCACAGGGACTGTTGTTGTTTGGGATGTATATAGAGGTAAGATAACAGGCACTACTGCCACTCAAGTCATGTTTATAGTGGAGAGTTATTTGAAAATTACATAACATTAGATTTTCACTTGTTAATTGCCTGTAATAGCAGGCTACAGAACAGAAGCATTGGTTAAATTTAATCCAACATTTTATCCAACCATGAAAATGAGAGTGATCATTGCAGCATTAATCCAATCATGCAAGATTTGGGGCCACTGGCTATTTACTATTCCCAGGTTACCCAAAGGGTGGACAACGCTATCCACTGGATAAACCTCTGACCAGTGGATAGTGCAGTATGCTTTGTTAAAATTCATCTTGCTGGAATTAGCAATTTATCCATTTGATAGCGTTATCCGCCTTTTGAATAACTGGGCCCATTTCCTAATGTAACCAACCCTTCAAGTTAGGAAAGTTTGTATTGGCCTATGAAACGTTTCCACCACACTTCAGAGGTTAGGAATTTCATGGTTTTTTACTATGTAATGTGAACAGTGTGCATATTTTGTTATCCCTTCAGGCAGTCTGTTGAGGGTCTATCCCATCACTGAGAAAGGAAGAATACTTGTCTTGTGCTTTTTGACCAGTGATAATGGCCTTATTACGATGCAGGGTGGTGATTTATCGCCATCACCAGCGTCACCTTGTGCCAATCTGATTGTAAGCTGTGATGATGGGACATTTTGTCTCCTGCAATGTGGAGTTTCTTTATCACATTCTGCTAAACCTCTTGAGGACAGGTAGGTTCAAAAGATTTTATATTCAAAGTAATTTTTACGAAACGCATCTTACTGTCAAAATCATCCAGAAAATCCGTTTTAAAAAAAATACATTTTAAAGCTCACGAATAGTCATGAAATTTTGTAAGCTCAAAAAAGGATAAAACTTGAAAATGGGACACTGAGTGGATAATTACACGTTACTGAAGATGCTTCAGCTGTATGACCGAGTCAAACATACAAAGTGCAAGTTCAAGAATTGATTTCAGACAGTATTTCATTAACTGAACCAAGTCGATTAAAAGAGGACATTTTTCTCTCTTCTTTCAGATCTGCAGTAGACATGGAGGTCATTACCACTGTTGTAAATATGCCTCAAACACCACAAGTGGTACGGAAACAACTCAAATGTACTGGTTATTTAGGATGTGGGTGACGTCGCCTCCTTGAGCGGTAACGCTCCAAGCTCCGTCACCCCCAAGTGAAGTTCCGTCTTTCCGAAGTATGGTTTCGTCGCCCTCAACTATTGACCTCAGTTTCATTAAGGTTTTAAACGTATTTTGACATAAGTTTTAAAGCTTGAAGGTTCGCTGGCCCGAGTATCAAACCTTTAACTAACGATCGTTTCAAAAAATAAATAAATAAATAAATAAATAAATGAAAAGAGGGAGTCGGTCTAAGTTAGGAACTTAGCTGTCGAAACAATGCGATCGTTAACCACACTTCGGGGCGACATAACCTCTCTCGGGGGCGAAGGGATTTTGAGGCGACCGTGCAAGGAGGCGACATAACATTTTACTGGTATTTACAGTGCCCTGAGGGTTGAGTCTTTTGGTGATGCAGCTCAAAACGGTCATGTTTCACGGGACGCTTTGTTTCAGGTTGCTGCTTTAGCGAAGAGTGGACGAATAACTATGTACGATGTTTGTAGCTGTACAGCAATATGTCATGTCGGGCTGCCCGAGTCTTATCTGCTCTCATCACAGCTTCCTTGTATCTGTGCTAGCGGGAGGGTCTTAATTTTAATTGGTGCGCAAAGTTTTGAAGAAAATAAAGAAGTGTTGGACGGAGAGGTGAGTGTAGGATCCAAAACAGTGATACACACGGCTGCACGTCTATGTCACTTTTTGTCCTCACCACATTTTGACGTCATGTGATCAACTACTGAACAGACGCAGGGCAACATACAATATCTTGTTAAACATGCATGGGACAATCATCGAACGTTTGTGTGTGTTTATATCTCCAACTTGATGATGCTTCCAAAAAAAAGTGCAGTCCAAAAAAATGGTTAGCATCTTTTAAATGACACCTTATTTCACTGTGAACTGATTTTAACCTCTTAATGCCCACAGAAACCCTATCTGGAGGTTGAAATGAAACTAATGCTAATGAAACTGAATAGCACAATGTGTTGTTTGTTCTTCAGACAGCAGTGCCCTTTTCGTATAATCTGCAACTCTTTCCTACCCTGAAAAAATACTGGAGAGAAGATGCAACCTCTGAGGTGTCACCTCTAAAGCAAACCAATACTATCGAAGCAAGGCTACATTCTCTCATACAGGGCAGGTGTGTTACCTTTAGTTCTTTTTACTCAATTTTCGCAGTTCTCGTTAATTTCAATTGTATTTGTTACAGTGATCATCTGAAAAGAGGACCTGTTGACTCATTGTTGCTAAACCCAAAAAGTAGTACCACAAGGAGGCAATGAGAATACATGATTAATACACGATCGGTTTTGGATTTAGTAGAATATTGGTTGAGATGTTTCTCCAACCTATCGTTATGGTGGCCAATTTACCACTATCGGGGAGCATTGGCAAGCTAAATTAATGTGATTTCGTAGTTACTCTACAAGCAAATTTTATTCCAAACCAAGCCTGTGGCCTCGCTCCTTCGCTTGCAAACTTGAATAAAGCCCAGGCCCCAGTTGTTCGAAGATCGATTAGCGCTAACCCAGGATTAAATTTTAATCCAGGTTTCTATATTTCTCTGTTCAAAAGCCATTTTAAGATAATTTTCCCAATTCTTCTTAGAGCATTCAGTCATCAAATTGTAAACAAATGGAATTAAAGTGAATTTTATTTTAAAGCTTTCAGATCTGCAATGAAATTTCCCGGTAACCCTGGGTTATCTTAACCCGCCTTTGAACAACCCGGCCCTGAATATTATGTGCCCATCGTTCTAGAATTAACCCCAGATTCATTTATATTTCAAGAAAAAATAAATGGGTGTAAGATAAGCAGAACATCTAGGCATATCCTATCCTGAAGGAAGCTCTTGCGAAACATTTTGCAAGAAAATAAATCCCTTTTAGTTTAATTCGTTATCAGAATTAAAAGTTATAAACTCAAAACATTTCCTATCTCCTTTCATGAAGACTTGTTAGCCAAGAAGGCAGGCAGATGAGACTTCAGCAGCGGTGGGCTCGGTATCAAACTGAACTGAAGAACATTCACAACAACAAAACAAGGAGAAACTACACCGCATGGCTGACGGCAAAATGTGTTTGAGTGTTACATGAAGAGACTTGTATTACCGGGAGAAATAAAGCTATTGCACTCTTGGTCACTGTCACAGTACAACCTCAGAAATTTCACTTTCCAGCGAGTTGCAGTCGTTGCAGTGTAAGCTGGCTAACGGGACTTTTGTTTCTCTGACAGATAGGAATTTGAGGAATTTTTTTTTCCCAAAACTACGCACAGTATCTGGGACAAAAATATAAACATACTCTGGACTCAGAATACATGCACGACAATGTTAGAATTAATAACTTAATTAGAGCAGTTAAAACTTTCTGTTCCATCACACAATCTTTCGTGAAACATATGAATAAATCATCAACCGTTTGCCTCATTCTTTGAGCGTTGTTTCGAAGATTGCACGTTCATGGAGTAACATTGGTCTCAACTGAACTTTTGTAGAATGTGTTCACGCTGTTATGTGACTGGAGAAATTTATTACGCGATGATGTCGACCAAATAAATATGTTAATTTTACAGTCTGGCAAATGAATGTTTTAATCCCGAACTTGAAGTTTTAGTCAGAGATTTGAAGAGAGGATACTAGAGCGGGTTCATAAAGTCAAACGGGAAATTTTCAATTGCAATTCAATCCGATGGATGTAACGAACAATTTTTTTTAATCGCACATTTTCAAAACGCAGCAGCTTAACTACGCTTTAGTAAAGTTGTGCCTGGAAGTGTTTGATTGATACATCTTTTTCGTCGAATTATGAGAAGTATCACATTTTTTCTGTGCAAATGATATCATAATGAAGTTAGCCGGGGACCTTTGTATTGCGTCAGAATGTACGTCAGACTTTACACGTGTCCTTTACTCCCTACAGGAATAATATGCAATATGTGACACAGTTCCACACAAAACAGTTTAGGATTGAGAAGTGAATTTATTAGTAGCGTAACAAAAAGTGTTTTGTTCTCTTTTGGTTCTCTAATATGAGTATTTTGGAATTTAACCTGCTGATTTCTTGTATTTCTTTAAACAATTCAATATCACACACGTCACGCCGGCGGACAAGGTATTGGAGATAACTCGCTGGCATAATTGCGAGTATTGGATCTTAAACGGCAGAGCCTTTTCTTTTTTCTCTTTTTGAAATGTAATAGAGGCCCAATGAACCACTGAAACATCCAACGTGTATTTGATGGTGGAGTGTAACAATTTAAAATGCAGGCTTCGCTCTAGTTTAAGTTTTTCCTTTAATTAACAAAGGAACGATGACATGGCAAATTTCAGAATGATATTCAAACGAAAATCTCCAACTGGAGTCAACCAGATAGTTTCCAAACTGTTTTTACCTGCATCATAAATGAATGCAAGTTATGCAGTGCCAGGAAACGCGCGACTTTTGGACACCAATCTGTTAACTGGTAAGGAAAACTAAAACTCTTAAACACGAGATGTTAAAGTGTTCAAAAACAAACTTCTTAAGGAGGAGCTTTATTGCAATAATTGCTTTAACTGCTTTGTTCGTATTTCCGTTTTACTTGATGTTGATACTTCAATTCCTGTGGACATGAAATTATTTTTATTTATGTTCTAATGACTAAACTTGTATTTTCGTTCTAATGACTAAACTTGCGTCAGAAAAGTCATTGACTGCATATAAAATGGCCTACACGTGGCACAAGACCCGTCTAACTCCAAATTTGAATACTCTAGCATCTGCTATCGTTGAGAGACTTCCTGGCAGCAGTTGATCCAAAGATAAAAAATGCAGAACATATCAGTAACGAACACAAGCCACAGTAACATTTTTCGTCCTGAGCCAGTAATGTTACCTTCTCAGGCATCTGGTATTGCATTTTGCGTCGCGTTTTTCTGGATCTTAACCTTTATCGTCGTCGGAAACGGTGTCAACATTGTACTTTTTGCATTTAACAAGACACTCCGCAAGAAAGCTTTACTTCTGGTCATTAACCTCGCCATTTCTGATTTCATGTTAGGTGCCGTATCTTTACCTCTGTACATAACTTATTTTGTTGGAAATTATTATCAATTGTGGTTGGTTCAATTCAGTGATCTACCTACCGCTACCTTCTACATATTCGTCGATTTAGCTTTATTACAAGCCTCCTTCCTCTCAGCGGTTTTCATATCTTGTGAGAGACTTTACGCCGTGCACTTTCCATTCAAGCACCGAACGTTGTCTTCGCGGGCATACTGCTTGGTCATTTTAACGGTGTGGATATTGGCCCTTCTCATTGCAGGGATCGGCACAATATTGAGTCACTTAGTTTCGCACAGAGCCACGGTGATTTTTTGGGTTTGTGCTGCTTTGACTCAGATACTTATTATATGCGGATGCAGTATCGGTATTTGGAGAAAGTTTCAAAACGGGGATGTCACAGTACATCAGCGAAACAGAGCCACGCAAAATAAACGCTTAACAAAAGTGTTGCTTTTTGTGTCATTCGTTGAACTGCTAACCTGGTTACCTTTAGTTACGCTCGATTGCGTATTCCTCTCAGGCGTTGATCCAAGATGTTTCGACTACGGAACTTTTCAATTCATCGCAAATATTCTTAATTATTCGGGATCTTTTTTCAACCCTGTTGTTTACGCATTAAGGATCCCTGAGTTCAGAAAAGCGCTGAGTTTGTGCTGCACCAGCAGAGGAAGCATATTTAGTAGGAAACGGAATGAAAAAAGAAGAGGAAAAACTTCAGTTTTGACAACGATGCAGTCAGGAACGTTACAAAGCTATCCAAGCCGACCTCAAGTGGCTTCTCAAGAGTTTGCTTTTGATACCCGTTTGTAATCATGTGAAGCGTGAGTGTCACGTTTACGGATACGAACTCTAATCGTTTTTTATTTATGTAACTCCTCAGTTTTTAGCACAAAGACACTAAGAAACTTTCAATGACTTTCTATTAAATTTGTTTGCGCGCTTTGTTTGATTTCTCTTCCGTGACTAGCGAATATCCGCTCGAAGCTAGCTACACAAAGCACTGTTCATTTCTATATCCCCTAAGTCAAAGTGTAAGAACTAAATTCGCCTTCTATTAGCTAGTAGTTCAGTTGCGAAGAGTCATTGTAGTGAAACCATTTCGGAGCCGAACGGAGTTTAGGAGTTCTCTACCCCGCAGTCAAGATCCGATTTAAGTTACGCTCGTAATATTCCTCATTTTTATCATTTCTAGTTCTGTAGTCTTTCGGTTTTCCTTATATCGAACCTTCATGTATCCGTTCTATAGTTTTTACCGCCTGTGCCGTACAAAGACTGCCAGCTTAAGTGAATAAAGAGTTTGATGCTGCTACTTGTCTAAAGTTCAACACTGTGGTTATACTGGCGAACTCCGGTGCACAACACCACGTGTCTGCGGCATCGGGAACGCGACAGTGAGAGCTATTACTGATGTTGATCAACCAGTGCTACCAGCGTTGGTACTTTCATAGCATTAAATGAAAATTATTTTCTGAAGAATTTATCCAACAGAATTGCAAAAATTACATCAAGTGTTGACTACAATGTAATTGAACGTTTTTGAAAGTTTATTTAGAATAGTTTCACTTGACTTTCTGCCGTCTTCATCATAACAGATCTAAATAACAGCAACTAAGTCTCGCCCTATTGTGGTTGATGCACAGCCCGTGAAATTTTTCTTTGTGTAAACAAAATATCTCGAAATATCGTAAATGCATTCTTATCGTAAAACGGGCTTTTTGCGATCACTTTAAATTTTTGCATCACTATTAGTCGCAGCTCTCACTGTGAGTCTCTACGCGAAATTTGTTGATTTCAGGAACTTATTTTACATAGGACGGCTCAGAAACGAACAAAGGTTTAAAACTCAAGCGGCGAGCTATTCTTCTCTTCATAAAGTGTTTTTTTTTGTTATGTTGTAGTTGCCGCCGCTGTCATGGTTTCCTAAGTATCACAACTGGAGGCGGAAACACTTGACCGCATCCCCTAGGCATTCGCATAACAAGCGTCTGATAATCGAACCAAAAATACCAAAGGCAATGACATCACCGATTTGAAAGGTTTGTTTTCGGTGGGCGTTTGCCATATTATTGTGAAGAGATAAACTTGATTTTTTTTTTTAAATATATCCGGCGTAGTGTGTATGGGCTCTTACTTTGATTCTCCGGCTTGTCTTTAAATTGATATCATTCTGAAGTAGTTTGAAGATTATCGCAAATCAGGCGGTGTGCGCACTCCGATTGCATTACAGTGTAGTAGCATTATTTTCAATATGGCGGTAAAAGCGGCAGAAATCGACAGATTTTGACTGAACATTCCGCAAAAGTTAGGCTGTTTCTTTTTCCTCTCACTATAGGTAAATATGATTTGATATATTTTGAATGTGTAGAAGTATTTTTCGTACGTATTTGTCGCGTATTCTATTGTTCTCAAGGACAAACGCAAGCACCGTTTTTTTAGCATGTTATTTCAGACCGGTTTTCGAGAAGGTCAAATTCGTTGTACGTCGTAGTTTGAAGCCTTTCAAATATTTGTATGGCCACTTTGATCCTTCTTCAACAGCTCTGACTAAACGCGCTCCAACGGTACAAATGTTTTATGCATTTTAAGTGATAGTGTTTGAGACCCATTCATGCAGCGAAAAGGCCCATTGTTGCGTTTAGTGTATTGCGTTACACAGCGTTACTACTGCAAGGACATTTATTATATGTACTCAATCGTGTTGTAAATCTACTTTCCCAAGTGAAAGAAAATTGACTAATCGCGAGTGTTGTGTGGTACATCTTTTATCTTGATCATTGAATGAAGAACAGTTTATTTAGAGCAATGAAATGACTCACTTGATCCATAGTAACCTCTACCTTTCCTGAGGCGACACGCCGGAAAGCCGGAAGCCGGAAGCCGGAAATGAAAAGGCAGTCGACCGTTGAAAGTTGTGGATAGGCCTGTGAGTCTCCTACCATTTGCTAGCGCTTTTAAATCTTCTACCCTCAAGGTTAAGCTCTTACTAGGATATCTCTTGATGACTTTCCTTCGCGATGTGATACTAAGGGTCAGTTTTGAGGTGTCATTTCCCTATCTGTATGTTCTTGAGGTTTGGCAAAGCCGGATGAGATTGTATTACAAAAGGCAATATTTTCTTCCGTGCGCACGCTATTTTCTTTGTTTTAAAGTATACTTCTCTCCTGCAGAAATAACTTCAGAGATACGTTTCTCAAAACTCCCATCTAGGGTTCCTCCATTCTCGAAGGGTATTTTGAAACTCTACATTTTTACTAAACGAGACAAATTCCTTCTTAGGAGGCGCGGGGCTTCTCCTTTTACAAATCCCGTATTCGCGCTTGGTGGAAAAAGTTCGTGTAATACAACGTCTCTGTCTCGTTAATATGCGTTTGCATGTCAAAGGTCAATTCCCTGTTAAATAACTCGCGTCTAGGGACATAATTTCTGACTTTGAAATTATTCATCCCGCCGTCGGTTGTGAGTGTAACTGTTGCCATTTGTGTCGAGATTATTACATGACCAGAAGGCAGAGATCCCATGAGATCGCACGGCGCTTGCGCAGGTTATTGCACTATTTGCGCTTAACGCGGTACGTTATACAAATTCTTGGAGCTTGGTTTTTCTACGCTAAAAACCTTTTTGACACGAATTGCTGGAGAGTTAACGAATTCAGTGTGATTATGTGAAATCACGAAGACCACACAACTGACGAGCGCGCCCCTGAAACGTCAACGGACAGTGGCGCCCAGCGCCGAGCTATCTCATGTGATCTATCGCCTTCTGATGTCATGTGATAGAATCTCATCCTAACTTCAACGTACAGGTAAGTCTCGTTTCATTCTCCAATTCCTAGGCAGATTGCAGTTTGGAATCTTTCTCAATAACATCAGTAGCCCCCAAAGAACGAATTCGTCACGGAGGAATCACGGGAGTCACGCAGGCCCGTCAAACGTTTTAACTTTCGAAGGAACGCCGCAACAGACAGTGAATCCCCATTACAATCCATGTATATTCACGCTATCTTGCTGCCACACAAGAAGTTCACTCCAACGCGTCAAGATGCAAATGACTCAATTTTTGGTTTACGACCATGATCCACTATTTATTTATTCATTTAACAATTTGCCAAAGGCAGGTAAATTTACAATAGGACAAGGTTGTCCCCTACTGGGTAAATTACGGCTTATACTATTTTGCGAAACGAAACGAAACGAAACGAAACGAAATTGTACTATTTTGCGAAACGAAACGAAACGAAACGAAATTTTGCGAAATGGCGTTTTTTCGCCTTTATTTAGCAAAATCTCCTCTTCGTCCGAAACAAAATGTTTCCACCAATAAAATGATAAATATTTCTAAGAGCCTGGTCACCTCTCATTTTATTGACCATAGTAGAATTCGTTTCGCAAAGTAGTAATTTTGACAGAATTACTATTTTGCGAAATGGCGTTTTTTCACCTTTATTCAGCAAATATGTCCTCTTCGTCCGAAACAAAATGTTTCCACCAATAAAATGATCAATGTTTCTAAGAGCCTGGTCACCTCTCATTTTATTGACCATAACAGAACTCGTTTCGCAAAGTAGTAATTTTGACAGAATTACTATTTTGCGAAATGGCGTTTTTTCACCTTTATTCAGCAAATATGTCCTCTTCGTCCGAAACAAAATGTTTCCACCAATAAAATGATCAATGTTTCTAAGAGCCTGGTCACCTCTCATTTTATTGACCATAACAGAACTCGTTTCGCAAAGTAGTAATTTTGACAGAATTACTATTTTGCGAAATGGCGTTTTTTCCCCTTTATTCACGT